AATTTAGAACCTTCAAGATGGCCGTTTTCGAGGAAATTGAACAAAATTGAAATTGTAAGGGCAATATTTGTGAATTCTAGGGTTATTTTTTTCTTTGGATCCCAGAGGTTTAATAACACGCACCCCCCCCCCACACACACAACCAGTGGCGGATCCAGAAGTGAATTCTAGGTGGGGGGGGGGCGAATCATGCGAGCTCAAGGGCTCGAAGCACCCGAGGGTTACCCCTCCCACTGTGTGGAATTGTTAAAAAGTTGCAATCTAAAAGCAATCAATTTTGGACATCTTTATCTTGAAATATCAGGAGATTTTGCCTCCTTCAGGGGGGTGTCACCCTCCTGTTTAGGGAGGAGGGGGTCCCGGAGACCTCCCCCGGATATTTTGTTGAAAATAACACCTCTTCGATGCAATTTCCTGCATTCTGAGGCAGCATTATTTTAAAAACAATTTTCAACACAATAATATCACTGTTGAGTTGAGTATTTTTATCTTTGGGGACACCAAAGGCTAAAATCCTTACTACTAAATCTGTGCTATGTACATGTTCTCACTGGGGTTGCCAGTGCAGACCTTATAGGCTAAAATACCCTTGCCCTGAAAATTCTAGTGGGGCGACCGCCCCCTGTGCTACCGCCCCCCCACTGACAACTACAGCACTGGAATCATCTCCCCCCCCTAAAATGTTGATAAAACGTATATTTTACTGAGAACGCTAAAACTGTGCAAAAAAGTATGAGAAAAACAACCAGATTTGAACCAAAAAGTGCATATTTTCACCCATTATACAAAATCAGGAATATACTTCCGGTCGGGCCTCAGCACTCCCATCCCCCCCCACAAAAAAGTGTGATGAAATTGTTTTTTTTTCATTCAATCCCCGTGAAAATTCAATATCCCAACTCTCAATAGGTCTATTCTAATTTTAAATAAAGCAGGGATTTAACTTTCGTGAGCAGTGATAAAACGTGATTTAGAGATTTAAAAAAAATTGTATATGGGGAATGCGTCCAAAATTAACCGTCTGAGTTTCAGTAAAATAATGTCATTCTTGGAGCGAGTTACAGACACTTTACAGTAGATGTAGGCTTATGTCACGTTCCATTTGTGTAATAATAAATTAGGAGAGTATGAATAGCGATGATGGATTTGTAGATAAATGTTCAGTATTTATTGTCTGTAAAATATGGATTTTTTTCCAATTTGAAAGTAGGGGGGGATGAGTGTACACGCCATCCCCATCACGTCAATAAGTGGGGGGATGTATCCGCCCATCCCCTCCGCTATCTACGCCCTTGTATGTAGATACGGAATCGGCCGAATTGCGTGCGTTTACACGTATACACGTATACACGCACACGTATACACGCACGCGCGCACACATTTACAAGGACAAACAAGCAGACACACGCGCACACATTCATACACGCACGCGCGCACGCTCACACACACGCACTACGTACACTCACAGACACGCGCGCGCACAAACACGCTCACTCATACACGCACGCACACGCGCGCACGTACACGCACCTACGCTCACACTCAAGCATAATTTGCACCTAATGCAACCTAATAAACTGAACATCCGTTTCGAAAGTAGGACGAACTACATCGTAACATCTACATGAATTATGAATGAAGTTCAAAAACCTTTCGTCCTTTCTCAGATCTCAACGTACACGAGTAATTCCACGACGAGCGTCTGACGAGCCGCTAGGTATGAAATCCCATCAAAGTGGCGCGTGATAGCGATTTCTCACCGATAGTCACCTTGGTCGATTTTATGCGCCTGCAGAAGTCGTTAATCGGGTAAATATATAATTATATTATGCAAACAGATTGTTAACTCGTTCTTTACGGCATCGTCTACGCGCTCAGCCTCTGTATAGCTTTTCACGCCTTCCATCCACTCCGGTGTATGTGTGTGTGAATGCGTAACCCAAGCCCCGTTATCCCAGCCTCCCTCCTTCATCAGCTAACGCTCACCCCCATTAATCCCAGAGCGTGCGAAGAGGAAGCAGTAATGATCGGTGTTTTTTTTAGTGTTGTCTACTTAGATCAGAATCATGTTGTTGCGGCTGTGGCGTTCGTTCGGCTCGCGATCCGTCATGGCAGGCATCGCGCTTAAACTATAGATGTCATCATTTATAGATGACATCGATCGGAGTCGTCACGACGAATATTAGTGTATCCGTCGTAGCGCGACAGAAAAAAATGCAGTCGACCACGCGAGCGCGCACACGCATACACCGACGCACACTCACAGACACGCGCGCACGCATACACCCACGCACACTCACAGACACGCGCGCACGCATACACCCACGCACACTCACAGACACGCGCGCACACGCATACACCGACG